TGTGGACGGATGGGAAAGACAAGACGATAGATCAGGGTGTCGTGGATGAAGTGGGTCATTTATAGAATCTCATGGGCAAATTTAACACAAGAGTTGATGTGGCCATCAATGAGTTCTGTGATTAATGTATCCATCGGAATAAATGATGCACGACTGATGATCTTCAAACCACGGCGAATTGTTTTGAAGTCTTCTTTTAAAATACCGGGAAAAACCCTACAGGAGAGCAATAAAGTAGAATGGGTAAAACGCTTTGCTGAACGAAAGATGACAGGACTGATTGTGGGGCTCGGAATTGCCTGATTTTTGCACAACTGAAAATATAAACATCTCAGTTTTCCCATACAGTTGTATATATTTGTAGGCCAACGAAGATTACTGTCGATGGTGACACTCAGGTACTTTACTGAGGTCATTCTGGATACAGATTTACCGTTAAGAGCAGCAGAGTCCGTTGGAAATAAGCAGCGGAAAAGACTGAAGATATACTCTACGCACTTAGATATGTTAAGAATGAGACCAGATTGATCAGAAATCTATTAGATATGGAATAGATTTCCAAGAAAAGACTGAAATTCCGAAGTAGTTGAAACTGTTTGACTTAAAACGACATCATCAGCATACTTTTGTATGTACGCAGGGGTTGGGATTGAAAGATCACTAATAAAAGCAGAAAAAATACGCGGATAGAATAACATCTTGGAGAACACCAAAATTATTAACAAGAGGTTTTGATGTTCTCCTTCCTAAGTTGGTTCACTGGAACATCTGTGTGAAACAGCCAGCAGTTGTCTTGGACTGTCAAAAGATTGAAGTTTGAAAAGAACGGATGATCGACAGGCAGAATCAAACGCAGACGAATAGTCAACGAACAGACTTGACCATCGTTATTCATCCCTCTCGCATCGTGCCTCGGACCGAGATGAGAGACTTGCCGTATCACGTGATCGCATTCACGATGGGCATTCTCGAATGATGATGATTCAATGCATCTCTCTCTTTCATTCCAGTGATTATGTCTCTAAGCCTGTTTTGCCAAATCACAGTAACAATGTCGATTGACTAGAAGGAAGTTAAAGCCATTCTTTCTGTGAATTTATTCAACCACTCATTACACATTGTTCGGTAGGGGATGGGCGATTTATCGGGTCCAGTCCTGTCCACCAGTCAATCGGATTTTTGTGCTCACCCTGTCGGACTACCTGGTTTGCTGTGAACTTCTATCCAGGAATAAATGTTTGTGATTGAAGCAGATGGTATTTTCAAATCAAGTCTAGTCAATTCCTTTTTTCAAGTCAGTAGTACCTTCATGCACCCGGATGGATGAATTTTTGTCTATTGATAAAAAAACCGTGCACAGTCTGGTCAGAAATTCATCGAGATGTCATCGTCGATAAAAATGCAATAAATTCAGATGGACATTTCAAAGTTCGCACACAAAAATTTCCAATCCGTTTCTCTTGGGGAACAGTTTAGAATCAGTCATATACCTAATATTCTTATTATCATCTGCAGTGTTAGGGTAATTTTAAACAAAGTTTTGTGAATACCTATAATGTCTTTTATTTTATCATTTTTATTTTTATTGTCCACACACATACACACACACACACACATCCCTTGCGCCGTCCCCGTTTAGATTTCATTGCATCTGCACGAATTGTATCTCCGGCCAAGTACAAAGGAGCAAAAATTGCACAACGCAATCCACGTCGTTGCAGCCATACGGACAGCACATTTGGATTTTGACATTCGTCCGACAGACCTAACCAATCCGCATCCGATCGCCATGATGCTGCTGTGCTTGCATTTATTCTATCGTCTCCCGGATTATGTGGCTCAACAGACCATCTTATTTAAAGGTCAGTTGTTGATCTTTCCGTCCGTCACAATAAATAATCGATTATACGTACTAGTATTCATTTGGGTTTCAAAGGTTATTTTCATACTGTCTGAGAAATGTCGTTTACCGTAGCAGTTTTATCGATTTTGTTTGAATTCGGCACGCAAGCAAAATGAAAAAAGTACCAACATAATTTAGTTCTTGAAATTTCCTCTGGTCTGTGCCGCAACCGAGGGTTCAAAATGATGATGATCTGTACAGCATGACTTTTTAAGCTATTTTTCCTGTTTCGCAGGGCATAAACACGACCGGACATGTGAAGGGTATCCATAAGTCAGCTATATCCTGATTGAGGATGTTCCGTAACTTTTCATTATTTTCAATGATATTCTCTCCATGCTAGATTAAAGAGAGAAATTGTCTAGGGATGGATGATGAGGACACCTCTGTTACTGTATTCATTTAAAATAAACTTATAATCTCATAGTTATTTGTGAATCACTCGACTTCAATTTGTGCTCAGGACCATTGCGTACCACATGCAAACGCGTCATCCAGCTGTCCAATCCAACACACACTCCGCTCGTGTTTCACTGTTTCATTCTTGGACGTGACCGGACGGATTTCACGTGCCATACAATGAGATCAGATGCGAGGGCCCATCGTGTGAATGCGGCTGCTGAGCGATCTCAACTCGACGACGGTCATGTGACCTCTTCGGACGTACTGGTGGATGTGACAGCGAAGAGTAATACTCAGCTGTTGGTTGAGTACAGGTATGTAACACAAAACTCTGCCCAAGAGAGTCCAAGTAAAGATAGACAGAGACTCTATTGCTGTACGATGCAAGCGGAGTGGATGAAAGAGAAATTCAGTCAAACCACATCCGGGATGACATACACATTGGTAATTAGAATCATACTACTTACGAGTAGTGAATAACGAGGTGCATGCAATATGCACAGATAGCGAGGTTTTAGTTTAACCTGAATGACATCTATGCTCGAAAATTAGAAGCAACATGGGTTCTCTGGTTTCTTGAGACAACTATTCTTTCTTGAGTTTTGTTTTACGGATATGGGGCAAATTTCATAGTTCATCCCATTGCACCCAATGCGCATTTGTCAATTCATCCATGTCAGGTCAGGTTTCTAGGACGAAAACAGGCTTTCGCCTAACGTGCGTCCAGATTCACACACCAGTAGGATTTGGGACTTCCTCTGGTGCTACGACGTGAATATTGTTTTCGTGGGTTGTCATAATTCGTTTACCTTCTCTAGATTCGGACAGCTACCCCAGCGAGCAACAATACCAGGGGTTTACTTCAGGTGATACTGTATAGAGTTAAGTCAAAAAGGTTTACAGAGGGAGGAAAGGTAAGAATATGAAACTAACAGTATCACTGTGGAATC